GGGCCCCGGTGGGTGTGCCAAAGCCCTGAGAACAGAGAAGGGGATTGTGTGGCCACCGCCCTGGGGGTCATTTCCCACTCCTCCCCAGGCCCCACTGCCCGGCAGGCACGTGCCCTATAGCAAACGGAAACTGAAACTAAAACAAGCCTCCACTAAGCCCAGAGGGCGCCGAGGCAGGACAGGCCGCGGTCAAGAACTCCATATCATTGGTTTCTGAAACCCAGCATGGGGATGTGGGAAGGTACGCAGGAAGACAGGAGCAGGCTGGTCACACCAGAAGAACTGTTTTTAAACCACTGAAGGCTAAATACTCGTTCCTGAGAAAAGCAGGCCATAAACACAGAGCCCTGGGATGTATCTTCGCCAACAGCCAGTCTAGTGACCCGACGCCCACTCACCTCCACTAAAGGAAGCCACTGCTCGGCGGAGACGCTGAGGGCCTGGAACTGCCTGTCGTGGACGCACTGCAGGTTGCCGACCACCAGCGCCGAGGCCCCAAACACCTCACAAGTGCGGCACAGCCCTGCAGACACCAGGCAGACCGAGGCTGTTCCCAAGAGAATGCGGGGCTCATCCTACCCCCGCTCCCTAGGAAGCCCCAGCGAGGGTTACGTGGAGAAGAGCCAAGGATGGCCGCGGGGTGATGGCAGATGCTCAGGAGAGAGATTTTGGTGGTCTCACCTCCTAAATTGGTGGCTTTATCCGTGAGCGAGGCCACCACGATCAGCCTGCTGACGGACTTCCTGAGTCTGGCGGCACGGCCCTGGGGCGGGAGCTCAGAGTCTGCATCGGGAACGCTGTTCTCCCATGGGATCACCTTCTTCTGGACATCGGCCCACTCGGACGGGTCATCTGCTTCCCCTGAGTGAGCACCTGGGGAGGGAAAGGAGAACAGCCCCAGCATGTAGAGCCCTGAGTGTTCCGCTACGTTACTTACAGCTTAGATGTACTCTGAGTGTACACTGATAGGCTGCGATTTCTCTGCACACGAACTGAAGACCTGTACTTGGACACAGACATAATCGAATTTTTTTTTTAAAGAGACTTTTGCTATACGGTATGTGTAACTGCTGGAGAGAGACACAGAGAAAGTGAGAAATCACTCCCTCCCACCCAGAGCGAGAGGGCCACACCACAACCTCTCCTCCATTCTCCTCTTGGGATTTTGGGCACACACACACACACACACACACACACACACACACACAGTGTGGAGTTCAAGCTGCCAGGTCCAGGACTCAAAACTGTGGTTGACCACGAGGGAGTCCAGTGCCTTAACCACAATGCCACCTGCTGGCCCTCATAATCAGCATTTTTAACAGAATTTAATTTTTAACATCATTTTTTAAGAGAGATTTTTGCTATAGGGCATGTGCATTCGCCAGAGACGGAAAGTGAGAAATCATCCCCCAGGGGGATGGGCATACCACAATCCTTTCTCCTCGTTTCCTCTCGGGATTTTGAGCACTCACACACATGCACCTGGCGTGAGTCTCAAGCCACCAGGTCCAGGACTTAAACTGTGGTTCAACTACATGGGAGTCCAGCGATGTAACCATTATCCCATCTGCTGGTCCCAAATTACCATACATTTTTAAAAAGAAGCCACGAGCTTTGTCTGAGGCAGATCAGGCTCTCCTGGCTTCTGATGGTAAAGCCAGCACCCAATTTAAGTTGCCCAGGTTGTGCATGCCTGCTCGCTGCAGTTCTCGATGTACCACTAGAAAGGGGCACCACTCCCTGCCCTTCCAAGCGCTACGCTAGCCCACTCAAGCTACAGGGGGCACACGGAATTGTTTTTACCTACATCCTGCTGAGACCAGTCGCCTGGCTCCAGTTGGCGAAGTCGGGTCCGAGAGAGGTGCCACTGAAACCCAGCACTTGCAGGCAGCTCCGTGAACCCCGTGAACTTGTCGATGGTGACCCACTCATCCTCAGCGAGGCCTGAAAGGCGTGGGAGGGTGTAAAATATGGTCTGAAAAGAGAATTGCCAAATCTGATGTTTTTCACTTAAAAATTTGCAAGGAAATAGACGTGTGTGAGATACAACCTCATTCTCAGTACTCGTGTGTTCCCACGAACGCTCACACCCGATCGGATTGCTCACTCCGATTTACATCCTGCAGCAGCTGTATACACGGATTTCTCATCTTTGCTAAGAAACTGGGGATCCGCTTAGGAAATCCGGGAGCGGCGACCCTGCTTGGTCCTCCTAGCCATGTGTGATGAACCGCTAGTCCTTCCTAAGGACCAAGAGTGTTCTGGGACTGCTCAGCTCTAGTGATGGCCACCATCCAGGTCACATGATGTACTGACACCCAGACGCCACAGGAGACCGAGTCCCAGCCCTGCTGGGCCAGGCCCCACTCCAGCCTATAGCAGGTGACGTCGGATCCGAGCCCGACTCACTCAGGATGCCACGTGGGCCATTTGGCCCTTGGCTTCAATGTCCTCACTTGTAAAGCGAGGGGAACTCAGCCTGAAACAGGCTGGGCGTGCTCAGAGAGCTCAGAGCCAGAGCACTGTCGACAGTCATACACAGATGACCCTCGGTCCTTTGATTATCCCTTTCCAGAGAACTGGTGCCAGGATGGGACAGTGACAGGCAGAGAAGCAGACACCCAAGGAACAGTTACAACGAAATAATGAGTCTCAACAATACCCGTCTTCATGAATGTTCCCGGAAGTAGCAGCAATTTTCTCTTGCTCCCCGTATTTTTGCAGATTTGAGGGGACAGGGGCTGCGACTAAGGTTCACTTAGTACAAAGTAGGCTCCGATGCGGAAGTGCGGACCCCCGCGCTGCACCCAGTTCCCTATCCGCAGACCACTCTGACTCGGCCATAGTGCTCTGCGCACGGGGAGAGGCACTCAGAGGCGGGCAAGGGGAGGACAAGAGGACGCACCCCTGCGGAGAACTCGGTGCGGGGCTAGGACGGAGTCCTGCGGGGGGGGGGGTCACAGCACCCTGGGCGCTGGAGGACACAGCACGCGCCAGCCTCGAGAACTTGGGGCACATGCAGTGAAGCAGTAGCACCTCTCCGGGAGAGTGGGGAGGGCGCTGGCCGAGGGGCAGGCCTCCTCCAATCTGCCCAAGCGCTGCCACCCTCCCACAAGGCTCCCCATGTAGAGCTGGAGTCCCAGGTGATTCACGTTCAAAGGCAGAACACTAATTACGGTGGAAGAACGCGCTATGCAAATTTAATAACTTACATGCAAGCTGCTCAGTTAATCCTGATAAACACACTTATGCTTCTTCAATGTAAACAGGCATCTGGGGCCCTCAGGGAGGAGGTGGCTCCTTTAGCAGACCCTGTGCCTAGGCTGGCGCTTGGCCGCAGCTCCCCCTCCTTCCAGTCAGAACAGCTTCTGTTTACAGAAGTGCTCCCTCCAGGTGCACAAAGCCAGAGGGCCAGAGGCAGAGACGCCCCAGTGCCACTGCCTAGGAGCCTGTGCAGGGCCGGCAGGTCGGGCCTGCGACTGCAGGTGGCACTGCCACCGGGGAAAGGCCAATCACAACCCGACAGCTGGCCAGGCAGGGGCCTGCAGTGAGAGCCCCACTCACCTCCAGACTGTAGTCCTGCAGGGGGTGGAACACAGTGAAGAAGAAGTGGTCTTGGATGCGCTGCCAGTTCTTCTGGGCCTTCCTGGGATGGGAGATGGGGAATGAGGACGGCTGCAACACCACCCACCTCGGGAGGAGAAAACCGCAACTTGAAAGGCGCTGCAGGATTTAGAAGGAATGGAAGGGACCAGCAGATGGCATGGTGATTATGTTGCTGGACTCCCACATGGCCGACTGCACTTGGAGTCCGGGACCCAGCAGCTTCAAACTCATACGGGCCCATGTGCGTGGGTGCCCGAAATCCCAAGTGGGGACTAGAGAAGAGACTCCTGGGATGATTTCTCGCTTTCTGTCTCTCTGGCAAGAGCACAGGCCCTACAACAAAAATCTGTAAAGAGAGGAGGGGAAAACCTGCTGAGTCGTACCCTAGGAACTGCACACAGACAGCCCCTCGGGACGGCAGGCTGATTCACTGGGAATAAAAGCCACTGTCCCCGACTGAGGACATCCTGTCCCCCCTTCCCTTTCAGTGGTACTCAGGAAGCCACAGGAGCTGCTGGATGCTTGTTTTATTTTCTAAGCTCCGTGCAGGCAGCTGTGCCCGCCCCCCCAAGTCTGTTCGCAGAGGCTGGGGAGCTGGGCTAAGCCCACCCACCCAAGGCCCGGTGCAGTAAATGCATTGTCCACTAGGGACGTTCCGGCGTTTGGGGCTGTCGCTGGGGTAAGCAGATCAGGCCTCAGGCAGTGGATGAAGAGGGAGGAAATCCCAGGCCGGCACTCTGCTCAGTGTGGAAAGAGATGCCCATAGTGATGACAGTGGGGACCTTGGCTGGAACCCTGATGTCCCCCTACAGAGGGAGCCTTTCCGTAGGCCCCCACTCAGCTGCTGGGAGACCCATGCCAGACGGAACTAGTATGAGCAGGCCTGACACCCCTGACCTCACCATCAAGCTTCAGAGGACAAGAGAGGGAGGGACAGACCTGCAGGACGTGGCTATCACTGCCCCCAACACAGGCAATTTTGTGACAGTTTTGGCCAGGTCACTGTCCCGCAGTGGCCCGTGTCCCCTTGCTGGCCCCTCAGATCGCTGCCCTTCCATGTCCTGGTGGCCACACCCCATGCCCTGGAGCAAGGAGGGCCACCTATGTGCTCCCTCGTCTCCAGCCCTGGATTCTGCTCCGGCCCACCGTCAGTCTGCAGAGGGCTTTGTGTCTCACACTAAAACACAAAGCAAACCTTCCTGAAGGACCTCTCGATTACTGGGGTTACGCCTTCGATGGGGGAGCAGGGTCAGGAGAGAGGGACAGGGCCTGCTCTTCTCTGATACCATTCATCACTGAGGTCTCCTATTCCCGGATGTCATCTAGGGACAACTGAAGGTGCCAGAAATAAAGCCTGTGCCTTCTTTTTTACAGAACAGGCACCACTGGCTCCTGCAATTCCGGCTTCACCGCGAGGGTTTTCTGGGTAAGTTGGTGGAGTCTCACCTTCCTCACTGCCCACTTCTTAAAGTGAAAAACATAACATAATTGAAATGCCCCAAGCATTCGAATAAAGAAAACAGCATCACAGACAGGAACGCGCCTGCCTTCTGACCCTACGGTGCTACCGGCTCCCGGCCACCATAGGGGGGGACAGCCATTACTTTCATTTGCTGAATGGGGTATCTTTCCTGAGCCCTGGAACTGCCAACCCAGTGAACGGCAAAATGCCGCCTTCCAACAGTGTGTGGGAAGCGGGGGCTGGGGAGCAGAGGGCAGGTCCGGCGGGGATGCCCTCCCCCAGCCGGTGTGGTGGAGATGTCTCCGCAGTCCTGGCTTTCCACACCACCTCACTTTTCTCACAAGCTGTCCCTCTCCATCAACGTACAAGTGCGGGCGCTTTCTGAGCATCTAGTGGGAGACTTTTCACCTTGCCAGTAGTGCTGAGTCTGAAATGTCTAACAATCCCAGCATTCTCGGGTGGTGATAACAGCAATCATTTAAAAAGCTAAACAGTGACACCTCAGGTGTGAGGGACCTCAGGTAGGGGGACACGCTCAGACACCCAGAGCTGCCCAGACGCTGTGCCTGCTGTGAGCGGGACAGGCGTGGGGAGGGAGCGGCGTGGGCCAGGACCCGGGGATGCCCCAGCCAGAGGACAGGGAGTGGCGTAGGCCAGGACCCCAGGTGCCCCAGCCAGGCAGCCTTTCCCTGCTTGAGCTACTGTGCAAGGGGGCGTTGCTGGGGGACAGGGAGCTCTGTGAGGAAAGAAAAAGAAAAAGCCTGTTTCGACGAGCAGAGCTGAGAGGGAACAGGCACGCCTTTAAGGCTGGTCCCTGCTTCTGCTGGCAGTGCCGGGACAAGGGCAGGGGGTGACACTGGGCTGCCCTGAAGGAGACATCTGAGTGTGTAAAAGGTGGTCGGTAAAGAGGACCCTGGATGAAACAGCAAAGCGCCCTCAAGGCAGAGCTGACAAAGCGGCCACTAGACCATCAGCCCCGTGGTCATGCCCGCCCGTGAGCCGCTGAGGCTTCCCTACCCCTCTCTGTGCATGCTCTCCACGTGGCTGAGGCTGGACTCGATGGCGGAGGCCAGGGCGTCGCACTCCTCCACGCACAGCGTCTTGCACAGGCTCCAGATCTTCTTCAGGGCGACCAGTGCGTACAGCCGCACGCTGAAGCTGTGGCTGAAGCACCAGCGCAGGGCGGCGACCAGGGCCTGCTGCAGAACTGCCTTCTAGAAGGAGAGCGGAAGCCTCACACACCTGCGAGGCGCAGCCGTCCCCACAATGGCATGCCCCGGGAGGACCTCTGCCCCCTGCTGCAGGGCCCTGGGCCTTCCTCCGAGAAAGGCAAGGGGCACAACACCAGCAACTTCTTCCGGGAAAGCGTGCCCAGCCCGAGCTCCCCACAACGCTGAGAATGGGCTAGCAGGCGGGCTACTCTACCCCGGGCTCATCCGGACCTGCTCCTGGGCCGTGCCTGCTTAGTGCCCAGCCATGAGCCCTGGCGGGCTGCCCCGCGGCCTGGTGAAGGCAGCCAGATCCCATGCAGCTGATTGCCTGGTGTGAGTCCCAGGCCTGGCAACTTGAGCAAAGGTCCAAACATGTGTGCATGCCCATGTCACTTTGAGGCCTTAGCAATGCCACCTGGAGTCCCCGGTGGGAGTTGGCCATGGTCAGAGCACTCTTCTCTGCGGGTTCAACCACGTGGACTGCAGCTCTGCATCTCACTGGCCGGTTCTAAATCCTTCAGTTGCCCTCGTAGTTACCCAGTGTTAGCTAAGATTCTTGCTTAGACGTGTGAGAACCCACTAGAGAGACTGCTCTATGCCGAGAGACAGGAAAGCCTGACGCCTTCATGTCCTCTGCAAGTGCTCGCCAGCTTTCAGTGCTACGGCCAAGTGTCTTGGCACAAACACTTGTTAAAAACTACTGTTGGGTTAAGGACAGTCATAAGAGAAGTTTTGTGTGTTAAAAGACCCTTAGTACATACGTGCGTACAATTTAGACTCGTTCATAGCACAGACAGTGGCCTACGGATGTGGCGAGGGCTCAGGCTCTCGGCAGCACGTCTGTATGCGGCTGTTACCTCACTGTGGGTTTGTGTCCAACGAATATTAGTATTAGGAGGGCAGAGGGAGGAAAGGGGGAGTTGGCAAAGACACAGGCGTGCTCTCCGTTAGAAAAGTTGGTACACACATCAAATTCAATTTCCGACGGTCAAGTTCCAACTCCTAATAAAACGAACCTCACCTTTTCGGAGTTATTTTGAATAATGATGTCCAAATGTGACAAAACTGATAAAAATGTACAAATACTTGTTTTAAGTTTCTCTTCACCCTGAAGAAAAGATCAAATAAGTAGTTAAGGCCCATGCAAAAAGCCCCGGGCTGGGTACCCAAGATTTAGAACTAGTGCTTTGAAACAGTTTGCTGCTTGTCAGGACGCTTTGCCACAACCCATCACCAATCTTGGTACCAATTCCTTTAAGGTGATTTTTTTTTTGGGGGGGGGGGGTAGAGGTTTTTGCTATAGGGCGCGTGTGCTCACCAGAAAGACAGAGAGAGACAGAGAGACAGAAAGCGAGAAATCACCCCCAAGGGGGGATGGTCACGCCGCAATCCCTTCTCCTCCATTCTCCTCTCAGGATCTTGGGCACGCACGCACACGCGCCCGTGTGAATTTAAGCCACCAGGTCTGGGGCTTGAACCGCGGTTGACTACATGGGACTTCAGCGACATAGCCATTACGCTAATTGCTGGTCCCTTTTAAGGTGATTTTCAAGATGGGAAATGGGGAGCCAGGAGCAAGCGAGGGGACAGGCAATGCACTGACACTGGTTTCCAGCTGAGTACTCGGGCTCCCTTCGGATCTACTGCGGGCATGCGGCGTCTCCTGTGAAAAACTGGCCTAAGGGGACCGCATGAATGCCTCACCACTCTTCTCTGAGACTGAACGAAGCCACCGCCTGGCCAACGGGTATGGAAGGCTAGTTCTCAAACCCCTAACGCCTGAGCCTGTACATCTTCGCTCTTTTGCTGAAACCGGCTCTCAGAACAGCCATGGAGGACTCAGGACGTCCTGAGGGCCAGGGCTCTGTCTCCTGAATGAACTCAGATCTTGCAGAGTCACTCAGGATGTCGCTACGTCAGGGCCACTGAGAGTCAAAACCGACCAGTGAGAAGAGCCCCATCGGCCTAGTCAGACATCTCCCAGCTTCAGAAAGGATGGGAAATAAATCCCTCTACTTACACGAGAAAAGCAATCCCAGAACTTCGGAAGAAACTGAGGGAATTTATGAAGAATCAATATAATAATCCATTCTACGAAATACTTTATGGATGCTTGATTATTGGTAGAGCCAGCTTGGAAAATCTTGTCAATAATTCTATTCAGGAAGTTCTGAGAAAAATAAAGTTCACAAATTGAAGTTATGTTATGGTAATTAATTACAGTAAACTGACTGTCCTATAAAACAACAGCGCAAAGGCCTATCATAGGCAACTGCCTGAGTCTACAACTCTCCGAACTGAGACCTAAAACCGTCGACTCCCTCAGCCTGCAGCTGTATGAGGGCGATGTACTTTCAGGGGAAGGGAAAGCTCGGAGACCATGCACGCCGGTCGGCGGAGGGCGAGGCTCCCCAAGGCCCGCCAAGATGCCAGGGCTTCGAGCCTGGGGCGAGGCTGGGACAGGGCAGGCCGAGTTTAGCCGAGAAAGCAGCATTGCGGGCAGGCCTGGCCTGCATTCTCTTTAGATGGCCTGTCCTCTGCCAGGGGTCTTGGGCCTTCCAAAGGCCACCGCTGTGATTACATGCGATTATATGTGGCCTGGAGTGCCACTCTTCAAGGTCCTACTTCTTTTTTTTTTTTGGAGAGGTTTTTGCTACAGAGCGTGTGCACTGGCCAGAGAGACAAAGAGAGATAGAAAGCGAGAAATCACCCCCCAGGGGAAATGGCCATGCTGCAATCCCTTCTCCTCCATTCTCCTCTTGGGATCTTGGGCACACATGCACACATGCCTGGCATGAGGTTATGCCACCGGGTCTGGGACTTGAACCGCAGTCGACTACATGGGAGTCCAGTGACATAGCCTTACGCTAACTGCTGGTCCCTTCAAGGCCCTACTTCTACCAGGGAACACAGTGAGTGAAACTAGTGTCGACTTGCAGAAACATGTGAAAATACTATTTATTATGTAGGTTTCTGGATTTTAAAGAAGAAAAATCCCTCTTTTTGATCAGTGTTTTCACTTCTTTCTGTTTTAGTTTTGCTCTCGGGTGTGCAGTCGCAGAGAACGGGGAGGTGAGAAGTCACCCCCAGGGGACAGCCAGGTCACCGCCCTTCTCTGTTCTCTCAGGATTCTGGCACGCATGTACACGCACCAGGCACGATCCTCAAGCCAGGTATAGGACTCAAACCGCGGAGTGGGCCACGTGGGGTCCAGCTGCCCCAACCTCCATGCCACCTGCCCAGAAAAACCCCTTAAAGAGCTTCGGCTGGGAAGAAACGGAGCCGAGCTCCCCCGAGCCCGGCCGGCTGCGCAGCGCGCCGTGTGAGCTCAGGCTGACGCCGCCCGGTTCCCGGGCTCTGCACCGCGCCGCTCCCCGCAGGCTGCCCGGCTCTCAGGACTGACCGCCCTGCCCGTGCCCGTGCGGACGTTCACGGCCTGCTCAGAAAGCCAGTTATGGAGTCAGTGACGCCAGTGTCACTCGAAACGCCCGCAGAGATTCCGGTCTCTTCCCGCGGCCGCCTGCTCTGACACTCCTGGGGGGCTCGGCTCAAGAGAGACACACTCGGTGACCCAGTAAAGGCCTTCTGGCTGCCTCCCTCAAAGCCCTCTCGGAGCTCAAGGGGTACTCCAGTGCTCTAGGAACCAAGGACGTGGGGCGACGCGGCAGCCTCTGGTCACCCCACTGGCCCCCCAGCCTGGGCTGTCCCTCACCTCTCGGCCCCATGTGTGGCTACACCGCAGTCCTACCCTCTTCTAGATGTGAGGCTTCACAGGATTGGAATGAAAAGATGCTGGCAGTGGGGAGGGCAGCCACGTACCCGACTGCAGTGGAGTCTGTGGTTCCGAAACGTGGTAAACCGCCAAGTCCCGGGCCAGCACTCACAGTGACCGCGGCCCACGTGGTGTGAGCTCAGGGTCCACACTCCTGCCTCCTCGGGGAGTGACGGCTGCTCAGCAGGATGTGATGGCCACCGAGCGGCCGTTCCTCAGGAGCCCCTGCCTCGCAGCCCCTCGCCGCTCAGAAATGCCCTGCGTGACTTTGGAAGCAGTGCAGGCGCCTTCAGCAGAGCGCCCTGACCCTCCGGTGGACACGGCAGCGCCCAAGGAGCAGCGACATGCGGCACGGCCATACCTGGTCCAGCCTGGGGACGAGCACCAGCAGGGTCTGCCACGCCCGGTTCTTTAGCCTGTGCTGCAGCGAGTTCGCGTGGGAGCGGCTCTTGGGCCTGGACACCAGCTCATCCTGGGGGCGACAGCAAAGTACCTGCTAATCTGTGGCCAGGGACAGAACCGAAGTGACTTCCATGTAAAGGTTCCTTTCTGTTCCCGCAAAGCCGGTCGGAGACGAGCAGGACGAGAAAGGCACCTTTCAAAACACTGGCTGTGGTGGCCTTCACATGTCTGCTTTTAACACTGGGGACCAGACCGTCCGACCGGGAGGTGCGGGCTGCCGGGAGCACGGCAGCTCAGTTCAGGACCTGCAGCTGGGACACCCCACTGCGACAGGAGCTACCGTGTCAGCGGTGCCTAAACCGGCCAAAGGCAGGTCTGTCTCCTCTCCCGTACCCACTCCTGCCTTAGCTCTAAGCCGACATCACCCTGGAGACGCTTCGGCGTTCTAGCATCTCATAGGTGCCACCTCGAAAGCCGTCTCCCTTGAACACCAACGATCCCTCTCCTGGGGGTCTTATTCCTCATCTCACGCCATGTGCCCCTTTGTTCAGAAAGCCCCTCCTTTTCTCCACTCACCTGTCAGTCCGGTTTCCTGAGCCTCCTGGGCAGCCTGCCCCCGGCCATGACATCTGCATGACCTTCCAGAATACCAGTGGCTCTCTTCTCACGACCTGAAGCCACCTGCTAATTCTTCCTCTGAACTGGCCCGGAGTGGGGGCCTTCACTTCCCCACCCTTCGTTTGAGTTGCCTCCACCACCGAGGACTTACCACCTCCCCCGTCCCAGCTGACTTCGTTAGGGGCACATACACGTCCCGGCTGTGGGTGGCGCATTGCTGCTGGGCCAGTGGTCCTTAAAGCTACCAGCTCCAACCACATAAGGGCTTGTTAAAATGGACTCGCACCTCGAATACCACTTCTTAGGAAAAGGAGACCGTTAAGACTCTCCTTCCTTGGGGACATGGTCCCTGGCTGCCAGGGTGCAAAGAGCACGCCTGTGTACACAACATACTTCCCAGGTGTCACGTCAGGGTACTGACCTGCTGCCTTCCGAAGGTCAAAGAACACTCCTTTTTAAAAATTATTTTAAGTTATGCTCTAGAGTTCATGCGCTCTCCAGAGAGAAGCAAAGTGAGAAGTTACCCCCAGGAGGATGGCACGCAGCAGTCCCTTCTCCATTCTCCCCTTGGGATCTCGGGCATGAATGCACAGGCACCTGGGGCGATGCTCAAGCTACCAGGTCCAGGACTCAAACCATGCTGGTGGCCGTGTGAGATTTAGCGCCTCGACCTCACGCCCCCTCGTCTGAAGCACATCCCTGTAATGTACGTGACCAAGTGGGTCTCCCTTCACCCGAGTCTGGACCACGGCTGGAAGGCAGGAGCGTGCTACCCGCTCAGCTCCAAGTCCACACACAGTGCAGACTCGGGACGGGGCGTCGTGCTTGGCTTTAACCCCTTCCATCGCCTCCCCCGGTGGAGGAAACCCGTTCTTCAGATATTTCATTGTAAATGCTTTCGCAGGCGAGGAGAAATCGAACTGGGTTACTTTGATCTGAATGAATAAGAAGTTCCCATCTCAGACAGACATTGCTAGCTGTGTTCTAGGGAAACCACCTTGAGCTTCGGAGCGGAGCGGAGGTGAGCCCCCAGGCCCCCAGATCGCGGTGGTCTCAGCACTGTGCCTCGCCCTATGTTTTCACCCTCTTCCGCCACCTCTCCCCTAAGACGCGGCGTGACGTGGTGCTCCAGGCACCAATGGCCTTGACGGGGCCGGAGAGCACACAGCGTGACACCTCCCGATGGTGCAGGGAGAGTGTTCTCTAAAACTGGACGGGCTGGGTCATTACTAACCATAATGTAACTGGAAGTCCAGAATGTGGGGCCAGCAGAGGGCAAAATGGCTATGTCGCTGGACGCCCACGTAGTTGACCATGGTTTGAGTCCCAGACCCAGTGGCTTAAAACTCATGTCAGGGATATGTGTGTGTGTGTGCCCAAGATCCCAAGAAGGAAAGAGAGGGGACTGTGGGTGGCCACCCCCAGGGGGTGACTTCTCGCTCTGTCTCTGTCTCTCTCTGGTGAGTGCCTGTGAGTGCCCGTGCCATGTAGCAAAAAGCTCTCTCTAAAAAAAGAAAAACAAGTACAGAACGTAACTTCCCGTTTTCCCCTGAAGAAACACGTAGATGACGTAAAACGAAGCATGTTTACTTTTTCTAGGAGCCGGACTGCAAGATCTTCCATGAGCAACTTGTGGGACACGTTGGCGCCGTCCAGCAGACACAGGAATTTGACAGCGCAGATTCTCACATAGGGGTCTTCTCTGTTAGTCCTGAAAGTTGCGAAATGATGAACTACATTAGAACATTTCGAAAACAGGAAAACACATCAAGTCATAATTCCAACATACTGTATCAAGTATCAAAACCTCCCGGAGTTTTCTACAGTTTGGTAAATCCATAGCACCTGGCAGGATTTAAGAGTCAGGATAAACACAGGGAGACAGGAATCACTGTTAAAATGACAGAGGACGTGTTCTGCCCAGACTTCTACCAATACGGCCCACGCAGAGCCCGTGTCAACACCCTCTTCTGGGGACCGGGCTCCTGTCACACAGGGCAAGAGCCGGCAGCTCAATGCTTCTCCCCACCATGCCCCGCAAGCGCACAGCCCCGAGGGGTGCCGTGCTCAGGGGGCACACGGTGCTCTGCATCCCAGAGTTCCGGTATCCAATGAGAAAGAAAAACATGAGTGGAACTGTGAGTGTCGCCCATGTCTGCACGTTTCGTTGCGCCTGCTAAATGTGGACTTCATTTTAATTTAATAGCAAGGCATCTGCCTAGCAGGAGTCAAAGTATTTGGCAACCATCGCCTCAAAAATTTCACTTTTATTGCTACACTAAACCAGCCAAGAATAAAAACTAAAAACAATTAGCAATGAGGAAAATGTATATGTAGTTAACGGAGAGCGGCAAATGATTTAACACACAGTTGGGCCTCAGGGTGGTAAAACTTCCTGCTGTCTCCACACAATCATTGCTTGTCCTAAACTCTAACATCAGTGAGTGACAGGACGGACACTATTTTTATCTTCTTTATAGACACGCACACTTTTTTTAAAGCTATGTGGAAAAATGAATCGGGAAAAAAGTCATTTGACAAGCTACAAAAAAACGAATACAGAGATGAACAGTTTTACTCAGAAATCAGAACCACATCTGCGTAAGAGGGTGCGTGAAAACCTGCACATGTTTAATGTATACAGCTTGACGAATGTTTTCAAACAATAGATATCAGGACTTGCTGGGAGAGGAACTACCTGGCTGAATGGCGCGTTTTAATCATACGTTAAACTTTATAGCCGAGGAGCCTGCAGATGGCTCCTGGTAGTGGTTATGTCGCTGGACTCACATACGGCAAACCGCAGTTCGAGTCTGGACCCAGTGGCTTCAAAATCATGCCGGGCGTGTGTGTGTGCATGCCCAAGATCCCAGGAGAATAGAGGAGAAGGGTTACAGCGTGACCATCACCGCAGGTGGTGATTTCTCACTTTCCCTCTCACTGTCTCTGCCTCTGTCTCTGGTAGGTGCATGAGCCCTAAGGCAAAAACATAAACAAACAAAACACCTTTACAGCCAAAAGAGGAACAGAGAGTAAAGTGCTGCTGATTACCTCTCCCCTAAGTAGGGGGCAGGGACTGTATGCTCCTCGCTGCCAGGGTTTGAATATGTCCCCCCAAATTTGACTGTAATGGTATTAAGAGGGTGGAAACATAACCCACCCACGGGGTTAAAAGACAGAGCCTCTAGGAGGTGACTGGAATTAGTAAAGGTCACCGGGGTAGGGCCCTGGGACTGGTGGCTTCATGATCAGAAGGGGAAACACCAGAGCAGACCTGCTCTGCACCATCCCAGGGCTCTGTGGCTCCCCACGGGGAAGACCCTCACCGGACATAGCCCCTTGGCTCTGGCCCCCCAGAACTGTGAGCTAGATACCTGCTAGTCCTTACGAATCACCCAAGCCCAGGTATTTCTGGTAAGAGCAACAGAGAACGAACTAGACACTTATTTGTGCTGGACTCCACGCTAAAAGTTCTTACAAGTTTACCAAATTTTAGCAAATAGTGAGAGGTGAGGAACATAAAATAGCAAGGGCATTTGCTTTCTAATGTATTTGTGAAGGCTTGTTTGCTATCTTCTAATAGGTTAGATAGCACTAGTAAACTCTGAAGCTACCAGCAAGGCATGTCTGTCACAGGGTGCTAACTTCTGAACCTCATCTGGGTGAAGACACAGAAATCCACGATACCTACTTCTCTATGACGACGTTAGCTGCGCAGTCGTGTCCAAGACTTTCTATGAAATCCTGGGCATCCTGAATAAGCCTTCCCCCCAAAAAAAAGAACAACAGAGTTTAGTTAGGGAAAAAAATAATGAAAGCCTCCAAGTTACAGTTTATATTCGTCTAGCTTAAGGCCTTAAAAGACCTCATTGCGCCCAGGTAGGTGGGCGCTTAGAAGAAGCAATGGCGGGCTCTTACCTCTGATCACGCCTCAACACAGTTCCAAACACACACGCCTCAAGGACAAGTTCACTGTAACTTCCAGCACAGGACAGGGGCCCCCGGGCCACGCCGGGTGCAGACTCCAGCCACGACCGGCAGCAGTGGTTCGTCAGTGTGTTGAGGACTCCGGCTCTCACAGCAGACATCTCGATGACCTTGAACATGATCTGAAATGGAACATGACAGCCGTTTCGGCCTAAAAATCAGCACTGCTCACAACTGTTACCCAACTGGTTTCAAGCCATAGTTTCGACACCACGTAAACGGTCTAAAAAGTGAAAATTCCCTATGGCTTAAATAATTCCAAGAGGTGATCAATACACATAGAATGTTAACTCTCCTCTCTCAGTAGTAAAAGTAAAGAAAACATCACCGACAGTGACATCCGTCCAGAGCTCTGCAGGAGGAACCGCCGAGCTGCAGAATGGAGGGCAACACGTCCCCCGCTGCTCACCTCTGCATTCACCACAGCCCTTTGGCAGAAGGGACCAAGAGAGGCAGCCCAGGACAGCAGGGCAGTAAAGGGGTCAGACTCCTGTCCCCCCAAGGCTGGAGATGTCTTAAATTCCCACATGGTGGAATTCCATCTGCTCTGGCTCTGGCTAGGTCAGTGGCCGTAATGGCAAATGCCTCCAGAGACCAGAAAGCTCTTTGAACAAGGTTCGTGTCCAGAGAAATAATTCTCTACCTAAGAACAGAACTCCGGCTGAGGGAACGGACAGATGGCCTCAGGGGAGGTCAGGTGGCGTGTGGAGTGGTGTGGAAAGGTGGCAACCAGGCAGGGACCACCAGCGTGGCCACGTCCGCCTCATTTTCCACAAGAAAGGGGACTCGGGTTTCCATGCACATCTGCCCGCGTGCGTGGCTGCCTCGCACCTTCATGTCTGCCTGCCAAACCTGCTTGTCCCCGCGCCTTCGGGGCTCACTGAACGGATAAAGGCAACAGAGCTAACAGCGACTCTCCCTTGTGCCCACCAGGCCACACATGAAAAAGAGAAACGTTACCTCTTTTATTTTCAAGTACGCCTGGCCCTTGACTCTCGCAGCAATGGTAAGAACTCGGTTATCAAAAACCAACTGGACAAAAGCTTTTAAGTTAGGCCAGAATGTCAGCTGCGTGTTGCTTAAAGAAGATACCGTTTTCCAAGCTACGTCAAAAGACTCTACGCAGAGAGACTCGGAGGAGGTCAGAAGCTGGGCGGAAGTAAAACAGAGAGATCCGCAGTTACACTCTCGGAGACTTGACAGCCGTGCCGACCCCAGCCCCCGGCTCCCAGCTCCCGGCCCGACCCTCACCATGGGCACCAGGATGTGCATGCAGCGCAGCACGGGTAAGACCCGCTCGGCCGGGAGAACCGCGAGGGCGTCCAGGGCCGCCTGCAGTGTCCTGGCCAGCTGCTGCACGGCGGGCAGCTCGGGCCCCGGGACCTCGCCCTCCGTGCCCGGGATGAGGGTGTGTCGCTTCCTCAGCAGGCACTCCAGGCAGACCCACTTCCCACTGGTCGTGGATGTACTGAGCAGTCACCTTCCCCCACCCGTGGGCAGACGGCGGCTCCTCCACACTGCTGAGAGAGAACAAGGCCACCGCCATGTCACCAAACCAGGTCTCCCTGGGCTGGTCCCCATTTCTTCTCATTGTCCAACACAACCCCAGTGGGGAGACTCATGTAAATGTCACTGCAAAATAAGGGAACCTCACGAGCCTCTATCACTCACAGGAGGGTACTTCCCCTCCTCAAAGGACTCACTGAAAGCCAAACACAGATTTGGTTTGGTTTTTCTCACATTTCCAGTGATAATCCGAGGGGGCCTCAAAAAGGTCCTGAGAAACGTTTATTAAAAAAGAAACTACACATGGATTTCAATTATTTTGCCCCAAATAAACTTGTACTTTCCTTCCACAACCTGTGGAAGCCCCGCCTTCATCCTGGGCAGGCTCCCTCCTAGCCCCTGTGCCGAGTAGCGCCGGGCCCACTGCCCTCGGGGGCCATGTGGCCGCACACTGGGCTGGCCCACGGGGCCCTCACCTGCTCTGTGGCCCCATCCGCGGCTTCTGCAGCACCTGGGTGAGCGGCAGGGAGGACAGGAACCTTTCCACAGGCCCTGGCTCCAGGGTCTCCAGCTGCAGCTCCGGCGTCTGGCCGATGACCTCACACACCATGGCCAGGCTGGCCATGCTGACCACTCGCTGAATCTGATCCCCAAGTGTGGGCTCCTGAGGAGGAAACGCTGTCATCGTGGGCAAGCAGGTCTCGTCAGGAGGACTGGCAGCCCGTCCCAGGCACCATGCCCTCCTCCTGCCCCTGCCGCAGGCACTGGGGGTACACAGGTCAGCTCCCTAAGGACCAGCAGTGCCATGCAAAGGGACGAGGAGCATGTTGGCCAGTCAGAAAGACCGCTGGCCACTTCAGCAGGTGGGCAGGACCAGAGGGCCCCGACGGCCCGGAGGGCCAGCCTGCTCACGGACGCCTCTGCACACAGGTGACCTGAACTGTGCTGAACGCACGTCAGCAAGGCCAGGTCCCAGTAACCCCTTAGGCCAGCTGGGAAGGCCACAGCGACAACCGTTGGGAATTGCTGGGGCCCGAACTCTGGCTCACTACTGGTGAGTGTGGCCACACTGCCCCCACCCTGTGACAGGGGACGGCCGCGGGCTCTACTCCATGGGGCTGCCATCCCACACAGACACGCAGAGCTCCACACAGAGGGGCCTGGGGAGGGTGCCAAGATGCGCTGGCTTCGGACTCAAAGAGAAAAGTCACTGTCTCAGCCCTCGAGAAGCAAAAGCCGGCCAGAGCTGGGCCAGGAGCAGCTGAGGGACCACGTCAGGTCCCACGGGGCAGGCCAGGAACACCCCGGCCAGAAAGGAAGCTTCTGCCCCAGCCTCTCCTACCCACAAACTAGCCCAGCGTCTCTATGGGCAAATTTCCACAGCAACGCCGCCAACCTCTGCACAGAGCTCGGGGTTCTGAGCTGGCTCTGGCCCCGCTGACACATGGTCCGGGGCGTTACTGAGGACAGAGCGTGAGGACAGGCTGGCGGGCTCACAGGACCGCCCACAGCAAGCATGCAGTGCTCTCAGCAGCACTGCGACCAGCAGGGGCTCCCCGGGACGCTGAAGGATGGATTATCTTCTCTCCTCTCAAGACAGCCCTCGAAAACTGCTTGGTACTAGGAGCCAGGAGGCAGCTTTGTGCTTATTAGCGGCACAGCCTAGACGTGAGATCAAGGAATTGTGATTTAGACCAGAACTGAGTCAGCACTCAGCGCGCGACGTGGGAACAGCCAGCGTCGCACCCCGTTCTAAGGATTGAACACGTGTGAACACGTGTGAGCGTCCTTTCCTCCCAGCACGACCCCATAATCCCCATGTTGCATGTGCAGTAAATGAGGTGCAGAGAGGCTAAGCAATTCCTCCGAGGTCACACAGCATGGACGAAGCCCAGACTCGAGCCAAGGAGGTCTAACTGCAGCGCCATGCCCCTCGCCACGCCACCGGGGTTCAGGTGAGCAGGGCCTGCAGGTGCTGGCCCAGCCAGTGGCACAGGCTGAGACACTGCGCTCTGAGGGCTGGGACGACGGGGAGGCCTGGGTTCGAGTCCTTGTGCCACCTAAAGGCCAAGCGTGGGAAGAAGGCCTGTCACCCAGAGACTCGGAGACGGGGCAGCTCCCTGAGAGGCCCTGTCTCAAGAACATGGCTCCTGGTGGAGGAGGGTGCTCCAGTGGAGCGGACAGGTGCCATTTATGGGTCACACCCAGACCCGGGAGGTGCGATGAGCACGACAGAGCCACAGGGGAACAGGAAGCGAAGAAGAGAGCGAGACGGCCACAGCGAGACCCTCGGGGACCGCGATCTCGGCTGGACCACAAAGGCAGATCAGAGCTGACGGTGCACACGGGAGGGCGGGCCTCCTCTGCGGAGACAGTGGAATGCCTGTGACCCATGGGCACCAGGGCTGCCTGCACGGCAGGGAGAGGCAGGGGACGAGGCCCTGGGGCCGGGCACGAGGTCCAGGCAACGACCGAGTGCCCGCCCACCGTCTGTCGGGGAAGGCTCCCAGGACCGCAGCTGCACCTGCGGGCATCCTGTAGGCGGGAGTCGCAGAGCTGCCAGCGCGCATCGCAGGGCTGCGCAGCCAACCTCAGATGCTCCGCATGCGTGCGTACCCCGTGTGCCCCGCTCACACGACTTCCTTAGCCCGAATTACCTGGTTGCCGTCCTCCTCCTGAAGATGCCGGACGGAGGCCTTCTGCAAGGGCGAGATGACCCTCCAGACGGGATTGCCCCGTTTCCACCCAGCCAAGCGGTGCAGCGTCACCAGCTCGACAAGCACCAGCAGGTACAGCCGGCACCGGTCTAGATCCGAGACCTGACGTAGACAGTGACACACTCAAGGTCTGGGCAGGACCCAGGTCCTCGCCCACTGCAAGGTTTGGATGAGCTTATTTAAATGCACTGAAGCAAAATAGAGACGTGAGAACGAGCCACTTCCTCCAAGCAGCCTTCCCAATCACCCTGCAGGGTTAGGGCTTCCCCCGTGTGCTCGGTGACCTCTCTCAGTGCAGTAGTGACACACTGCCACCATCCCAGACCCTGGGCCTTGGACGGCAGACACAGCGTCTGTCTCTCCTCTGCCAGGGCAGGCCCAGCTTCCTTCATGATGCCTACAAAGCCACCTCGGCCTCCGCTGTCTGTGATGGCCATTCCTCATGAGGAAGGGGCTGGCCCACTGTCGCGGAAGACCGACACCAAGAGGTTACGTGACCAGCCCAGCATCTCAGAGCGGCTGGTGGGAGGGACAGCGTCGCTCACCAAGGTCTTTCCAGCATGAATCCCCATGCAGGGGGAGTCAGCCCGGCTCTCCTAGGCAGCAGCGCTGTGACTAGGGCGCAGCACTCACCCTCTTTAGGCCCCGGTTTGCTTATCCGCAAGGTGGGGACAGTAATCACAACTCATCACAGGACATTTCAAAAAACCAGTGTGAGAAAGTGTGATAAACGGGTGGGCACAGAGGCGTGGCCTTAACTGTTATTACCATATCACTGTATCACACCATCCCGGGGTCCTGTGCCACCACGTGCCCTCTCGCCTCCCCTGCCCCGGGACCCCCGTGCACGCCAAGAGCACGCAGGAGGTAGTTCATCAGCCGAGTTCTGCGGAGCACCACTCTCCCAGTGCTGCGGGGGCCAGGGCACAGTCAGAGAGATGTGGCACTGCAGGTTCTCGTGGCAGGTGGAGTAACGGGGACAGCGAGGGGTGAAGGCGCAACGCAGTGAACACTCACACTGCTGAGCTCGCGCGCAGTCAGTCTCCTGAGGATGAACTCAGAAACACTCTCTGCCGTAGACAGGACGAGGCTCTGCAGGAGAGGGAGCACCTCATCTGTAGGGAAGAGGGTCAGCTCAGGTGACAGAAACCACAAACCCGCCAGCCCCGCGGCAGCAGCCC